CAGTACAAACAGAAAGAGTGCAAACACAGCAGTCGATACTGAAATTCCAGTGTARAAAAGTCAACTGAATGAAAAGAAAAAATTCGACCCTGAAGGCTAATTTCAGTTTCTTCTTCCATATAGACTAAGCCTGCCTTCATATACTAAATTATTAGAATTAAATTTGGTGTAAGAAGCTGGTATATAATGAGGCTTTGGAGCGAATTAATAGCCTGATGCTCTGTGCTATGTAAAATTTTTCATTTTCCATTGTTGGAGGAAAGGTGGGAAGATGACATGGAGTACAACCATGCATCACCCTGTAAGAAAGCAGCCTTTTCAAAGAACAAAGGAAAAATGAACAGCATACCACCAAAATATGCATTCTGTAACTTATTATAGAGATTGCAGGAAACATTCCTATTGAACAATACAGGTATTTAACAACTCCACCTCATGGTACTGACCAGAGTCACGATGATTTCTGCAAAGCTTGTGTTGCTCTGAAGAGGCTTTTTGTGTCCTTATCATTGTGCGGGGAATGCAGTACATAAGACACAGGCAATCGAGTTCAGATTGTGCATGTATCTTACCTTACCATCTAGAATGAAACATCAGGGACAGCTTAGGATGGGATCACCCTACTATGAAGGCTCATCAGACACCTGTAGTACAGGCCAAGCCAGGCAAAGGACAACTGACTCACATATACTGCCTGTAAAGGTGCATTTGAGACCATTTTTGACTTCTAGAAATGCAAAAGAAGAATGATATTCTACCTWTTCAGCCTCAATACTAAGTCTTTGCCAGTAATGTCAGTTTAATGGACTGTGTCCAAGTTTTATCCAGTGGAAAAGAAAAAACGCAGTTACAATCAGTTCTTCCTGGTTGTGGTCCACAAGGAGATGTAAAGTGGTCTGTGGCCCATAAAAGTGGGGATTCCTTGATGAAAAGTAGTTAGATCAAATGGAAAATTACTGTTAGAAGAAAGAAAGAATGTTACCTACCTCTAAATATTTCTTTTCTTGATGATATAGTTCCACAAGCTTGTTACAAACATCACACCATTTCTGCTTGTCACCACTAAAAAGGAGGAATAAAACCCCCGCCAAACAAGTCAAGTTTTTCATATAATAGTATATTTTTCAAAATCTGACAAATAATTTTCAGTAGATTTAGTTATCAAACTAATATTTAGAATAAATACTACAAATCACCCTAGMAGTTTTACTAATTGCTGCTCTGAATAAGAAAAAAATACTTTAGAGACTGTGCTCTTCTTTTTGATCAATATTCAAAAGAAGGTAGCAACCAAACACTCCAGTCAGCTACAGTGACAGCTGTTTAGAACTGTGCCTCTACAAATTGTATGACACATATTCTGTGATCTTAAAGCAGTGAAAAATAAGCCTTCTTATTAATGCAGGCAATGAACTATCAGAGATAAATGTTTCAAGGCAGTGAGTTTAGACAGCAAGAGAATAACATGGAATTCCTTAAACTACTAGTCTCAAGGACAACTAAACTAAGAGTTTTTGCTCTACCAAAACAGACAGAAAAAGCAAACTTTACCCAATTAAGAGAAAAGGGTTGAAATATTGATATGATAAGGTTTTTGAAAAACCAAAGTCTATACTATATATCAGCAATGGCATTGGTTGAAGTAGAAATCTTAACACTGAAGTTATGGCATTTGATATCTTTACCTTTCATAGAGTTCCAACAGTTTTTGGTAAACATCTGCTAAGTCTCCTTTGACATCTATTTGGTTGGGTTTCTCATATAAATTTGCTAGCCCCTTAAAAAAAAAAAAAAAAAAAAAAAAAAAAAAAAAAAAAAAAAAAAAAAAAAAAAAAAAAAAAAAAAAAAAAAAAAAGGAAAAGGAAGTAAGATTTTAAGTCAACGATTATGTTTTATGTACTTGTTCTGCCTACAAAAACTATTCCTTTGCCTTCAGTGGGGTCAAGGGTAGTAATCACAGGGCAGATTTTCTGCACAGTCCACTCAATCTACTTATAGTTAGTGAAAAGCTTTCCTCACTTTCTTAACTAATAATAACAGTTCTTTGAAACTTGTATCTATTACCTGACCTTGTCTGCACGAAAGATAATATAAAAGTTCACTAGGCTGTATAATAAGACATAAATACCACGTAAAGTATATAATAATATATATGTACACCCAAGCATTGTATCAAGAAAGCAAGAATCTGAAATTTCAACATTCTGAATTCAGGCCCCAACAGTTATACTTTAAAATAATACTTATACTGAAAATGTCTGAGAACACACCTTAGAAAAACATTGGTTGTTGACATCACCAACAGATTAAAATGTAACTTTATGCTTCACAAATTTCCAAATAACACAATTGTATGTTGCAAATCTAAACTACAATAGGCTGTCATGCACACACCACCCAGCACACAGCTATTTTAAAAGTATAYTTTTGCTTTAAAGTAACATCAAAATTCAGTAACTATGTACTTGATGGTGAAAAGTGGAAAAAACACATTACCATCTAAAACATTTTCTCTCTATGAGAGAACTGTCAAGTGTTTTTTGAGCTACAAGCGTAATTTTTACATGAACAAATTTACTGTTCGATAGACATTCTACCTTGCATGTCTCRCAGCTATGTAGTCTACACAAGAAATACAAACTCAAATATACTGAAACTAAAGTTCATCATGGCTTTACATTAGACACACAACTAACACAAATCTCAGCTACTCCGAAGTTTCYACAGAACTTAAAGGCCTCAAGAAAACAAGACACAAGTCTAAACTTTGCTTTATTCCTATTTTTAACTTCATAGTGATACTTTTGAGGGAAACAAAAAGCGGGCAGTCACATACCTGCCATGCCAGTAACTGGTTTGGTTCAAGTTCAATAGCCTTCTTATATGCTCCTTTGGCCTGATCAGGCTGCTCTAACTCAGCAGCTGCCAGGCCAATGAACACCCAAGCATTGTAGTTATTTTTTTCTTGCTTCAAGACTGCCTAGAAACAAACAATTTTAAATAAAACTGATGAAAGAAGTGTAACTTATAGATTCATGCATACTGACATTTATCACTACAGTTTGATGGATTCTTTTATATGGCAACACTAGAAGATAAGTAATTTGTAGGAAGACAATGAGAATAGTAATTTCAGCTTCTCATTTCAGAGCATGCTTCATACCTGAAGTGTTGAGCTGGTAACCCATATCTGCAGCTCAGCAATTAAAACACTCCTATTAGGTCTGGATTAGAAGTGGATTTTTATTTTTATCATTATAGACTTAAAACCCTTATTGCCACATGTAAGCAAATTCAAAAGGAATGGGAATGAAATTTTACAAGTGGGATACTAACGTGAATGATCAATTACRTTAAATCTGGAAATCCATCTCAACTATCATATCAACATGGTTCTCTATGCTCTTCACTATATACAGCTGTAGGGCTATGGGAACACAAACAAAATGAGCAAAAAGCCCCAAACTTACCTTCCAAGTATAAAAGTAATTACCTTGCAATGTTTTAAGGCCTCCTTATACTCTTTATTCCTTATTGCGTCTCTAGCATTCTTTAATGCTGCCTTCACCTCCTTATTTGACATTGTGGCTGCTAAATACAAAGGGCATATCATCAGTTCTTGTAAAAATATTCTGACACATACAAAATGTTTATACTCTCATTGCACAGAGTTTATTTTGAACACCAAATGCATATAGCACTAGAAACTGACGAAAAAAGTAACATGCATTAGCTCCAATGCAGGGTTCACTCATTCTGCCAGTGAAATGATACAAAGTAGCTATCCCAGAATGAAACTGTTATCACTGGTTAAGATAAATTAGAGTAGGAAGAGAGATGTTTAAAGAGCCCTCAGTGAGACTTAGGAGAAAACACCTTGCACATAGAAAGTCCTCTTTAAAAAGAAATTAAGCAGTGAACTGTGCTTAAGAACCGTATCACTCCAGACGTGTTCCATAGGCTCCGAAGGATCAGGGTTTTTCTTGTGTGCTTTCTATAGCAGTACCATAACCATCTTGTCACTTACACTCTGGCGCGGCCCACCCTGCTCCTCTCCCTCCACACACACTTATCGCAGGCTCTGTTTCTGACGACAGCGATGAATCAAAACATAATAAGCACTAAAGGACACTCATAGGGGCATTCACACTTGTGAACATAATCATGCACTGTTTTGGTGTATGAGGTAAATATGTTGCCTTAAATGAACTTTAGAACGATCACAGCGAACCAGAGCTGCCGAGACGGGATGAGGCTGAGAAACAACAGTGCTGATGCCAGCATTCAAAGAGATGGAAAAAGCAATCAGCTGAGGAACCAAAAATCATTTTAGGAGCTGATAAGCAAAAATATAAAAACGGTTGAAGGTCCCAGTCTAATGTAGTAATGAAAATACATAGGATGACAGTGAATTTCAAAAATTCCCTCAAAACCAATACAGTAACCTGTCGAACTTGCATTGCTCAGCAATTCCTGGAGACAAATTTGCTTCCTAAGAGGGAACAGACGCTTCACCCATCACAAGTGCACCCCACGGTGAGCACTGTCCAGCATAAGCTCCAGAGTCACCCACAGAGAAAACACGACTTCAGCGCAAACCCGGACACCGGGGCGGCGACCGGCCCCCGGAGCAAGGCCATTCAGCGCCGCCCGCGGTCGGGCTSCCGGGCCTGCGGGTGGGGTCCAGCGCCCCCGGGCCCTGGGGAGGCAATCCACGCCCGCAGTCCCCCCAGGGAAAGCCGCGGCGGAGCTARCCGGGCCACCACCGCGCGTCTCCGCGTCTCCACCCCGCCACCCGCTACTGCCGCACCTCCAGCCACCGCCGCCTCCGCCACCTCAGCCGCCGCCCGCGCACATGCGCACTCTCACCGCAGGGTAGTGTCGCACCAGGTCAGCCGTCATTTTTTTCTTTGAGCCTTATGGGAGATGTAGTTTGCGTCTCTCAGGGCACGCTGGGAACTGCAGGCCACTGCCCGGGGCACTGTGGGAGTTGTAGGCCGTGGTGCCGCGGGTACAGTTCGGCGGGGTCAAGWTTTACGCTGTGGCCAGAGCCCCAGAATTTGCTTTCGGAGCCACTGCCCTTCTCGGTCCGAGAGCTGGGGGCCACGGCGGCGGGGTGATGCGAGGCKGCGTGCCGCTGGGGCGAGCCGGGCTGGCCCTACTCCTCATGGCCGCCGGGGCGGGAGCAAGGCCTCGGCCGGCCGCCCGCGGGGACCAGCCCCGGTCCAACGTGGTGCTGGTGGCCTGCGACTCCTTGGTAAGTGACCAGGGCGTGAAGAGGCAGCCGGACAGAGGAGAGTTGACGGGAAAACCCTCGGCGGAACTACCGAGGATAGCAACGAGGCAACACGGGGACGCATTCCCCAGGCCGGAGCCACAGGCGAGCCGTGCAGCACTCTGCAGCACSCCCGCGGCGCGGAGGGCTCGCATGGCACTGCAGCGGCGGGCCCGCCGTGTGGCGAGGCACAGGCAGACCGAGTGTTTCAAACCAAACGCGGCCGGCTGCCTGGGAGCCTGCGCCCTGTTCCCTTCACAGCCACGACAGAAGCCGACAGGCTCTGTGCAGGTGATTCCTGCGCACTGGGGCGACATATATAGTTGTCACYGCGAAATAGGCTGGAGAGGGGCGTGCCAGCCGGACTCAGCCGCAGGGTAGCCGGCACTGGAACAGAGCTGGCGTGAAAAGTGAATGGTGTTCCGTTCACTTGAAAAGCCAGATGTCAAGTAAGGTCACTAAACTGTGTTATCCTTGCCACTGAAAATTCCGAGACTGTTACGTCTCCAAATAGATGGTATAGAGAACTTCCGTGGTCACGGATGAAATTACTTGTTTATTGGGCATCAAATATTAGTTTACTCAGGCTYTTATAAGGTATAACAACACAACAAACTTGTCAGATGTGTATCCACAGCCAAAATGATAAAGGAACCCATAGATACCTGGCAGCTTTATTACAGTGATTTATTAATGTATTTGGTTTAACCTCCAGACACATATAAATTTTTCTGTTGACAGATACTAATCCTTGTGGCCTATCTTCACAGTTGTCTTGCTGTATCCACCCAGCATGCTGGAAATGCTTTGATGTAGGTTTACTCTAAGAAGCCTTGGTTTCTCTGCCTCATCTGRACYCTCCTTGGTGTGGAATCACATCTAAGCTCTGTGGTATTTAGCTCCAGATGCTTTCGCATTCCATCACTTCTCATTCACTGTTGAGAAATTTTGATTCCTAGCCTTCTTGGGACTCTATCCTTGACCGCAGAGATTAGATCAGTTGACTTCAAACCTGCTGTCTGTCCTTTTKGGGATGAATTTTTCTTAAGTGTTTGGTAAACATGTGTTATCTGTTTTCAAACCCAATCTTTAGGCACATTGGTTGTGATTTACAAGATAAAGAAATAGTTCCTTCTTTATTAATGCCATAGCTCCTTATCAGCTTTTTTTCCTTTGACTTTATTCTCCGTTAATTTTGAGTAAATCATCTCTCTTAGTATTCCAAAGTAATGCATGTTTTTTTCTCCAAATGTTAAGCTTTTACAAAAAGTCTACCATTAGTTCAAATTACAGTATTTAAGGTCCTGAGGGTTAGTCAATGTCCCTTTTATCTCCAGAGATCTTTTTATCTAGCAGAGGCTGCAGACAAACCTTAGTTGAATTTTTGTATGTCACTTTTAAGCAGAAAGATTATCATAATTATATGGCAGGGATTAATGAGGTAGCCCTTACAAAAAGGAAAGGTAGAATCCATTATGTTTGGGGTATTTTTACATAAACAATTAAGAACAAGGTGCTATTTTTKAAGTGCCATATTTCCATAGTGCATACAAAGGAGAATATGGTAAAATAAAGCCTTTGTTGTGTCAGGCTTTTTTTCTGAGATGAATTTGAAGGTAGAAATAGATGAAGCATTTTGATTACATCACTAGAAGAAAGTAGGAAGGATTGGGTACTGTTGAAACTTAACAGTTTTTCTGTAAACAAAAGAGTTTACAGTTRAGTTCTGCAGGCTGTAAAAGATCTGGACTTTCATTAGAAAGTGTGCCTGCCTCTGTTGTGGGTCACACTGCCTATGAAAGAATCACATCTTTCAAAGTGGGACAAMAATTTTCTTCTCAGTGAGGCTGGACTGTGTTTGGCCTGAAAAACAGTGACAGTTTTGCTTGAACACATAGCTTTCTGGTGCTGTGTCACATTAGGCATTGTGCTTTTCCAAGAGTTTCCTGGTCAAGTAGGGAGTGCAATTCCTGAACTGCTACTTGAAATTAACTGGGTGATGAATGTCAGGCTTTGTCTGTAATGCAGCTCAAGTTCCAGGATGAAATGTGCTTGTTTATTTTAAAGTAATTTTATTTCCTTAGGTATTTCAAAACCTGCAAATGCTACACACTTCTTAGAGGATGGATTTCCAGAAATAACTGTTGACTTTCACCTTGTCAGCAGTTCARGAAGCTTACTACTTTCACTGAATATCCTGCACCTATGGAAACAATAATTATATCACAGTATACCAATCATACTGTAGCACAAAGTATATGGAATTATTTTGCTACTGTGACATTGAATATGGCATCACAGTATCAATATAGGACCTCCGTTGTCTCCCGCTGTTCAAACATGACTTTGTTGGAGAAACTTAACAATGTTCTCAGGATTGCACAGCAGTTGTGTACTTTTGTCATGGTTTAGGAATGGCATTCTCCAATTTAGTSTTCCCACTGAAATCACTCCAAATCACGTGCTGCTTGCTCACTCCTCTATCCCCYGCCCACGCCTCTGCAGCAGTCTGGAGCAGAGAATTGGAGGCACAAAAGATACAAGTCATGGTTTGAGGTAATAATAATTTACTAGAAACCGCAGTGAGATAAGGAAAGAACACTAACAACAGCAACATTAATAACAAAAAGTACAAGAGAGGTGAGCAGTTCCCATTTGAATGCTCAATACTGTACCATGCAGAACCTGACCACCACCACACTTCCCTGACCTGGAAAGAACCCCTTCCCCTGTTCCTGGAAAAAGACACAATAACCTCCATGTCTTAGCCATGCCCCCTCATTTTGGCTACTGCAAAAATGAACCCTGTCCTAACTAGAATCAGGACAACTTTCTAAACAGCACTTTAGGCCCAAAGTTTCGTTTRAGTTCCTATTGCATATTACAGCTTTCTTTCCAGTTTGTCCTACTGAGTGCTTTTTCAAGTTTCCGTTTGTAGTAGTATACAAAATTAGGTGATGACTCATTCGTCATGTTATGATACAAGCTGATTTCAGAGGCTGGGATGCTGCAGTAAGTTCTACTGGTACCATATGAAGTGACTCCCTACAATGTTGTGTTATCAAAGAATGCTTCTGYCAGAAACCAAATGTGGAGGATTGTTTTTTTCTGCAGTTAAAACTGCAGATTCACTGTCACCTGTCTTTTCAGTGAAGAGCCAGTCAGGCTGGGACTATACTGGGACCTCTTATTCAGCCAAGGAAAAGAACAAAAGTGACAGTACTCTGCATGAAACCTGATCTTACTTTAAAATCACCTATTCAAAATGTTGGATCTTTTAAAAACTTTGTCTAAACAAACAGGTGAAAATGAAATTAGTATTGTGAAAGTATCCAAAGGGAGCCATGATGGATGGCGTTTCTGTGGAAGAAGAGCCTTCCTTTAGCTTTCTGATCACTTTTTCAGTCTRTAGTTTCAAATAAGATCACAGAGAATTGGTGTGAATAAMCCCTTCAAAAGGATGAGGGACCAGTGGTGACTTCACAGAAATATGTACTAGTGCACAGATCTACATCAGAATTCAGCCTTACTCCTTGTTACCTYTCACCATACCTATTCCCACTGAATGTGACATGGTAGGACCCAACTCCTGAAGAACTGGAGCTTGAAACGTGTATACCAATACAAGAGAATTAATTTTACTAGAAAGTAGCCCAGTTATCTTTTCCATTGCACTTTTTCAAAAGTGATCCATTTTATGTTGATCTGCTTAGAGCTTTTCAATACCGTTTTCCATATCTGGAAAACATGGACTTGGCAGCATTTGAGCAACCCAAAGTAACAAATATCCCTGAATTAATGCAGCCAGTAGTTTGTATTAATGCTGTTTATGTGTTGCTTTTATCTGTTTAATTGCAGGATGGACGCTTGACATTTTTTCCAGGAAATCAGACKGTGGATTTGCCTTCTATAAATTTTATGAAAAAACAAGGCACTATCTTTCTCAATGCGTACACCAATTCTCCAATTTGTTGTCCTTCTCGTGCAGGTAGARCTAAGCAAAACATCAGATAAATGCTTGTACATGTCAATTTAAATATGTGATAATGATAGGAAATTTAAAAGGATTTAATTGGGAGATTTCTTTTGTTTTTCAATAAGGGGAATTATTTTTCAGTTTGTGTCTGAATTTTTATGGTAGTCCCTTTCATCTGTTTATCTCTTCTGTTTCTAATGTTTCCTCCTTTATTTTTTGTTCTCCTTTTTTCAGTTCAGTRTAAGCTCCCGAATCTTTTTACAAGCTCCACTGAAGCTTCAGATTTTAAAAAATCTTCAGGATTTATAGAGAAATCATTGATTATTTTCTGCTGCAGTGCTGAAACTACACTCAGAACTGCTCTTTCTTTCCATTACTAAGTTAATAAATATCTTTTCTGTATTCAGCAAAAAGTGATAAATAATAACAGCTGAATAAAGTGGCAGCTGTTAACACTGTCTTCTAGATGTATGAGTATCTTCCACTAGCTTTAATAGAGCACTTCATTGTTTTTCTTTACTTAATGCAATTTATTTTGTGTTCAATTTCACACTTGCAGAATTTGTTRTGAAGGTAGAAGAAGGTAACCATATTTCTCAATCAAAGGTTACATCTTAAAACTTTCCTTGCTTTTTCAGTTGTTGCAAAGACCCTCCTTCATCTATTGCTATAAGGGGATGGGCCTTTYTCTCACAGCACACACTGAAAGAATCAGCAGACAAAGGCTGTCAAATATAGTACTGCATTTAAAATATTGCCTTTATGGATAACCTAGTCCGCATGTTTTTTCCAATGGTCACATTTAAAGTGGGTGACATTATGTGAATAAACAGTCAGCCGTTTTTTTCTTTTTCTTGATTTTTGAGTCTTTTGCACARTTTTTGTTGCTAAAAACAATGACTTCGTGTTATTTAATTCTAGTAAGTTTGTGAAAGTGGCAGGTTAGTACTCCTGATGTGAGAAAGAGACTGCGTAACGAATTCAACAATTTATCTATTATATGTAGCATTATAGGTAGCTATGACCACTGAGCTCACATGTGCGGCTGTACACCAACAGGACATCTCTTATTTAGCCAGTACCTTGGACACCCTTAGGGAGCTGACATCTATTGTGGAGGTGTCAGGGATGATAGCAGAAGAGATGGTGGGGAAAAGGGCATTGGGGTGGGGAAGGGAAGAGTATTGCCATGTGGAGTTGATGCACTTTGCTTACCAAATATTTCTATTGCTTGTAGAATGACTGTTTTGTTTTAGAACTACCTTTAAATTAGCATTGGAAAGAGTGAATGATTCTAAATAAGCTGCAAAGAAATAGAAGTTACTAAAAATAATCTTCCCATGTAGTTTCTTTGCAACWCTTCCCTTGGTTTTATTTCTTCTTTCTGTTTTCTTTGATACTGATACTCTCACTTTGTTTTTGCAACTGGTAGTGAAGTAGATTACGTAAAAAGGATAAAATTTAGGGCATATTGTATTTATGGAAACACCGTATTGTAATTCTGTCCACAAATATACTTTAAACTGACACTAAAATCTAACTGTAGTAAGGGGAAATAATACTTTGAAACACAYATAAATTCAGAATTGTTTCATAGGATCTGTACTACCATGGCATTTTCTTTCAGAAATTAAAAAGAATATTTTCTGATCTCAGAAATATTTGATTTAATGATTGCATTACACCTGGAAGGATAGAACCTTCTGCACTTCTGGGGATTATTTGAGTAAATTTTCTTACTTGTATTATGAAATAAAATTTGGGAGATCAATACTTTGTCTTCCTTATTCTAYTGGATAGCAATTTGGACTTTTAATCTCTGTAATAATGAGAAGATCCCTTCTCAATTATATTAGGTAGTGGGTACTAATCACTCTTTTTTTTTTCCCCCCCTAGCTATGTGGAGTGGTCTTTTCACTCATTTAACAGAATCTTGGAATAACTTCAAAGGTCTAGATCCAGATTATGTAACMTGGATGGATCTTATGGAGAAGCATGGCTACACTACACAGAAGTTTGGGAAATTGGACTATACTTCTGGACATCATTCAGTAAGGTAATTAGGTGGTTTCTCCTGCTATGTAATGGACAGCAATGAACAAGCCAGTAGTGGCCTGTCACGTGGTCTCAGTTGCCAGTCGAARTGATAGTAGCTTTCATTGAAAAGAAATTGTGTTAGGTACCTAACAGAGGTCTGTCCTGCAATTTTATGGAAAAGCAAGCATATTCCATGCAACTGCACTTCAGCTTTTATCTGCAGCTGCAAGGTGATACAGCAACTGGTTTTGCCCAACATAAATGGTAATTTTTTGTCAGTGGTATTGCTCCTTWAGTGAAATTAATTAAATGTTTTTGTCTTGCTCTAAGACTTCTTGACTTCCTGGTTATGACAGTGTAGGAAAAGCAGAATGAAAATCCATAGTTATAATAAATAAATCTACTGTCACAAAATGTCAGAAGTTTTGTGGGGTTTTTTTGAAGACCAGAAGTGTTCACAGACTTGTGCTGTTGTGTGGGTTGACCGTGGATGGATACCAGAGCCACCATGATAGAACAAACTATTCTGTTACTCCACCTCACCCARTGAGCAGAGAGGAGAAAATACAATGAAAGAAGGACTCAGTGGTGAACATAAGGATTAAGAGAGATCACTCAGGCACACAGGCAAAACAGACTTAAACTCAGGAAAATTAATTTCTTGCCAATTAGAAGCCAGAAGGAGGCAATGAGAAGTAAACCCAAATCTTAAAATGCTTCCCCCTACCCTTCCCTTCTACCTAGGCTCACCTTCCAAATTCTCTACCACATCAGTCAGCAGCATAAAGGGATGGGAATGGGACTATGGTCAGTTCATCACACTCGTTCCTCCTCAGGGGGAAGACTCCTCACATTCTTCTGCTTCAGTGTAGGATCCTTCACCCACTGGTAGKACAGTCCTCCACTAAGTTTTCCAAACTGAGTCCTTCCCTCGCGCTGATGTTCTTCACAAACTGTTGCAGCGTGAGTCCCTTCTATGGGATGCACTCCTTCAGTGTGGGATCCTCCAGGGGGTCGCAAGTCCTGCCAGTAAATCTATTCCAGCATGGACTATTCTCTCAGCAGRTCCACAGGTCTTCCTGGAAATCTCCAGTACAGGCTTTCCACAGKATCACAGCCTTTGGATATCCATTTGCTCTGAAGTGTGGTCCTCCATAGGCTACAACTGTTCTGTGGACTGCAGGGGGTGAGCTTTCCTCATCAGGATCTTCTCCATGGACTGCAGGGGAATCTTACTTCTGTGTAGTTTTCATGAATATGTTCTATCTCACTAATTCATAGTGGTGTCCATTGCCAAAGTAACAATRAAGAGTAGCTATTTATTTGATATGAAACAGCTTAGAGTTACTTAACCTTCTCTTTTTTAGTTTTGAGGGGATTTTSTTCTTTAAACTTGATCCTAATCTCAGTCTGATTGTATAATCAGACTCGCCTATGGCCTACATTATTTTTTTTTTTCTGTGTAAGCCAATATTTGTGCAATAAGACACACCCACACACTCCTTTTTCATAATTTCATTTTAATATTTATGAAACATGCTTTCTCTATAAACTAACTGCYTTAATTTATTCTAAGTAATTTATTTAAGTCTGTTTAGGTTGAAAGTCTGAGCCTAAACCAGGAGTTACAACAATAAAAAGAATTATTACACATAATTCTTGACAACTTTTCTGGAAGCTAAAGTGCACTGKTAAAATTCCTTTGGGGGATGAAACTGATTAGATGCTCTTTAAACAAGAATAATGCTRTATTTTGATACAAGTATGTGATCAAACTTTGAGCAGTTTTATACTTTACATTATAATTTGGTTGATTATATTGAAATTGCCATGAACAAGACGAAGATTAGTCAAGGTGGTCTGTCTTCTCCCACCAAGACCCACCATCATTCACTCTGGCAAAGAAACAAGGACATCAGCAGCTCAGATTTTCTAGTGTTTTAGAGAGACAATTGCCGTGATATTAGAAAATCTGTGCCAAAAACATGTTATCATTAAAATGTTGCCATTATTCCACCTTCTTCTTTCTTTATACCCTTTTCTGTTATTCCTTTGACAGGATTTGTCAACTACATGTAAAACAATTGTACAAGAGAAATCATTCTTACAGATTTTTATCTAAAATGTATTTAATTAATAGTACAATCCAAATTCAGAATGTTTTTTTTCTGAGGGCAGCCTCACCAAGCAAGTTATTTCCCACTAGAATTTTTCAAATAAAAATCTTAAGCCCAGTCTGCAAATARATAATATGTTAATCTGTGCCAGAATGTGGAGAAGTATCCATATGATGGAGTGCTGTTTCTAAATATTACTTTGTACATGTGAGAAGAACCATTCTGACACGAGGTCATAATAAATAAAGAAAATTCAGAACAGAAATAAAAAGGCTGAAGCTCTGAGTACAAAATAGATGCACTGTTGTTATTGCTCAATTGAGTAACATTTCTCCTTATGTAGGAATTACAGATAGATTGAAGCTACAAGTGTAGGGGAAGTTCTCCCAGAATTCATAATACTTTTTGCTTGGAGGAAAAGGGAAGAAAACATTTTCTGCTGAGTGTTGGTCTTGKGTTTGTATTTTCAGTAACCGTGTGGAAGCTTGGACCAGAGATGTTGACTTCCTGCTCCGACAAGAAGGAAGACCCATGGTGAAACTTAGAGGTGATAGGAAGCAAGTTAGAGTGATGGAAGCAGATTGGCGGAATACTGATAAAGCAGTAAATTGGATAAAGGAAGAAGCTGTTAACCTTACTCAACCATTTGTTCTTTACTTGGGACTTAATTTACCACACCCATATCCGTCACCCTACACAGGAGAAAATTTTGGATCCTCTACATTTTTAACTTCTCCCTATTGGCTTGAAAAGGTATGTGAAGATGAAATTTAAATATAAGTTTATTAATAACTGTACCTAGTACAAACAGTGTTTCATTCCTGTCTGTTTTTAAAACAGACCAAGTTTTAGTATTTCACTACACAGTAAGAAAATACTTGAGTGACAAGTTAGGTTTATGGCTAGGAATACACTAAGAAGAACAAAATTGTTGTTATTCTTAATTGTAAATTACTTTCAGTAATAGTCTGAAGTTCATTGTTATGAACATCCTGTATTTTACTTGTTCGAAATGAGGCTATATGTAATGATTTTGTGTGAATTTTACAATGGAAGATTGACTTTTCCTGCAGTATGAACCTAGAACATAAAGCAAGATAAGTCACAACAGAAGTCTTTCAAAARGTTAACTTTTTCTGCACTGCTGTAGGTTTTCAAGCACAAAAAATCCCCTGATGTCTCTACATGTAAACCTAACAAATAGCATTCCATTCCAAAGAAGAAATACTTTGTCTTGTATGGTCTCCAGCTGCCATTATCTTCCATAAAATATGAACATATTACAATAGATTTCATTGCAGAAAGGCATTAATATTCTCTGCAGCTGCAGAATTAGAATTAGGTTGGTAAGACTTTATACTTCAAAGTATACCCTTTACCCTCCGTATATAATTTGTATAACTTGAGGCCTTTTCCACTGGAGAGCTGCTAAATCTCTTAATCTAGGTGCAACAAAATTACTAATACTTAGGAAAAGAAGATATACAACTCAAGGTTGAGAGATAATAATGAGAGCTGTGGGTTCTTCTGGGAACAGTGAGAAGTTTGTGGGGAAAGGAAGAGCATGGAGTAAAAACCCCTTCCTTTCCACAAAGCAAAATCTAACTTAGTTATTGAGGAAAACTTGCTGGGTATCAATTGCTAGGCTAGATGTGACTTGGGAAGTGGGAGTACCTTCTCTTCAAGTCACAGACGGAGTTATATCTGACGAATTTCTGTCATCCTTAATCCAGTCAGAGTACCTTAATTTGACAGATTACTGGGATCCTTCCCACCACTATGTTATTATACTGTATTGTGTGAAACACATATTACCATTTATTGATTATTGGCTGATTCTTCTGCGGTGTAGCTCTTTTTGGGTCATGGAAGAAGCAGTCTTTTAAAATCACAGAGAAAATCTCATGAAGAATTTTGATCTCATAGATGAAGAACTGAATTAAATGTCCTATTTATTGGGGCTGTAATACAGAACAGAATATCAACATGTAATGTCTGTGAAACCTGTGTTCTTAAGCAGATGGTTCCCTGTCTTTTGCACAGCTGACAAGCTGTCAGTTTTTCAGGGCATGTGGCTCCTTTCCAAGTTATGAATTATGTGTCTTGGTTTAAGACAATTAAGAAAGTGGACATGCTGAAATGAGTTACCTCCCCTTAGTTTCAACCAATCCCTTTCCACCAATAAGGAAGCAATACCAGTGACATAAGTGAAAAAGTAAGTTTACTAGCTAGTGAAACAGCAACATACAAAAAAAATAACAGTGCATAATCACTAGACACAAAGTTGGTGAATCTCAGGAGCTGAGAGATTTTCAGAAGTAAATGAGGGCAATGGATGTGGGTTTAGTATTTAATAAATTTAAGTTTTCCATACTAAGATTACATCTCTGCTTTGTGGTAATTTGTACTTTAAGCCTACAGTATTGAAGTAATTAAGTGTTAACTGCAGCACTTTATGTGAGGGAATATTTACAAGGATGACAACCAAGRCTAAATGAATATGTCAGATTCCAAGACTCTAAAGCTAGTACTGAATCAGACAATATSTGCTGTGATGATGCAAAATTTGAATATACAAATCCATCACTAGTTGAAATGGATTSGCTTTTTAGTTCACACTGATCTTAGAGTTCTTTATAACTAAATGGATTGACATCTGTAGAAACATGGAGAGAGTATTAGAAGATTGGATTGATGTAATCAGTGCTTTTTTTCAAGATGCCAAGACTTGTCATCACTGTCCTGGAGGCTTTCCCAGACTACATGAATTTTCATGTTGTCCTCTAGTCCCATGCAACACCCAATCTTTTTGATCAATGAGATTTATACTTACTCTACAGTTATGAAGACCTGTGCCAGTACTTCTGTACCTACTCTAGCAGTCTGTGCTATCTCTCTTAAAAACATACAGCAGCTGGTGAAGCACATATTTGTGGATCCTAGCCTTAGTTTCTAGCTGATTTTCATATATTTTTAAAAAGACTATTTACCTGTGAAGGCTGTGGGGAACTATGGAGGAGGTAGCAGTCCCCTGTTATCAATAAGCAGCTGGTGTTTCCCAGGCCACAAATTGATAATTATGAACTTATGCTATAATTTTTTTTTATTAAATCTGTGTTTAAAAAACTTATTTAATTCAGTTGCTACAGTAATGTTGTTTTCCTTTTATTTTCAGGTAAATTATGAAGCTATTAAAATTCCCAAGTGGTCTTCTCTTTCAGAGATGCATCCAGTAGACTATTACTCATCGTACACCAAGAATTGCACGGGAGAGTTTACAAAGGAAGAAGTGAGAAATATTAGAGCATTTTATTATGCTATGTGTGCAGAGACAGATGCCATGCTCGGTAGGTAATATCTTACTACACTGTGRGTTTTCTAGTTCTGGTTTTTTAAAGAAAATAATGATAGGGCTGTTCTKTGTGGGAAAACTGTAGAAAACTAAACACTGCAAGTGTTTATTAAGTTGTGGAAGTAAGGGAGTAASTCGTAGAAATTGCATAATCAGTCTATATCATAAATGACTGGATAATTTTTTTAGGTGAATTGAGAGCACTCTGCARAGTAATCACAACCAGCAGTCAGAGGCTCTGTAGGAAATGGATAACTGCAGCAAACCATTGTACGACCCACTGCACTGGTTTAATACACAGTGGGAAAATTACCCCACACAAGCTGCCCCTCCTCCCCCTTTCCCTTTTGACAGCACAGGAAATACTAGGAGAGACCACAAGTGGGAGCAACAATTTTACTGAAAAGCTTGCCATAAATGCAGCAATAATTGTAGAAGAGGACACAAAGGGAGAGTGCTCTACCCACAAGAAGAGTATTCACCAATGAAAAAGCAAAAATACTCCCCAAAAGAGTGCCTGATGTGGTTTTCCCAGACTGAGGCAAGATGGCACCTGTCACCTTTCATACTGGACTGTGCGGCTCAGGAGAACAAAAGCAATGAGGAAAACAAGTTTCTGCAGTTTAACGTCATTTCCCCTGCCTGAAAACAGGGACAAAACAAAGCCTGGAGAGTTAGTTCATCTGAATAGAGAGTCTTGCTGCTAAAAATACTGGCCCTGACAGTGGCAGCAGTAGCAGAAGCAGTAGCAGTGGTGSCGATTGTGGCTTGTCTTCCCATGGCACCAGCAGTAGTTCCAGATTATTGAGGTTTCAGCAATAGATGCAGCTTCCTATGGCTTCAGCAACAGTTAAGGGAGCAGTTCACCCCTTTCTGCCACTGAGGTAAGACTGAATCACTTCCAGTGAAGACTTCCAGCATCCCCCACTGTGGCATTTCCTGCTGAAAACTGCATTCCATCCATGACATAGGTGGTATGTTATTAAACATACTGCTGGAAACTCCTCCCTTCTTTCCCTTCCTACCCAGGATACCCATATACAGGAGGTGCTAAATCTCTTTGATTAAGTGCTACCTGCAATAATAAAAACATTTTTGTGAAGGGGACAGACTGAAAATGCRGAACTGAAAGAAATTTTGAGGCACAATTAATTTTCCTTAGAGGTTGATTAGATGCGTAGACAGCTGTTCCACATTGACTGAACAATAAGGTTACATTTGGAGTGTCTCTTACCAGAATATTATGGAAAGTTAAGAAGAAATAATTTATTGTACATTCAGAATTCTTYGAAGTTTGCATTAAGATTTACAGACATGAAAATTGCAATGCAGTTGGTCTTAGAGTATTTTATATCTTAATTTGAAAAGTGACCATAAATGAACAAAAATTTGCTTACATATCAATATTAAATTCGTTGTTAAATAAGCTAATTTTTTAGCCATGTGAAATTGGTAAAGTGAATGAAAGACACAGAATGGCTCTTCCTCACTTTATGAATGAAAAGAGATCAATAAAAAGCCTGATAGTTTTAGGAAATGAAGGGGTTGCAAAGCAACTGCACTGGGGTTTTAATTCATAACATATTTTAGTTAGTATGTTTACAGATGAATCATTCCAAGTGTTCTAATATTTAAGAATCTTACGTGCTCTGCTAAATTACCAACTTCATTGATTTTGACCCTGTTTTTGTTGCATGAACATACATGCAAAAAGAGAGGATTTATGTTGTGTCTTCATTGCACACAATGTATGTGCAACAAGACAGGAGTTTTCTCCTCTGACTAGGARGATTCCTTCAAGTTTGCATGTTGCTTTGCAGGTACAGAAGTGGGAAAAAATATTTTGAATGTATCCTTTCAGYATCTTTTTGCTGTTGCAGGTGAGATTATTTCAGCTCTGCGAGGTACTGGGCTTCTTGGAAAAACAATCATCATATTCACTGCAGATCATGGAGAACTAGCTATGGAACACCGTCAGTTCTATAAAATGAGCATGTATGAAGGAAGTTCCCATATTCCTCTTTTAGTTATGGGGCCAGATGTAAGAAAACAGCAGCAAATACTAAGTGCAGTATCTCTTGTGGATATATATCCTACTATGCTTGGTGAGTTAAGTAATTTCAAATGATTTTTTTTTCCCAGTTACCATTATTGTTCTACATTTGTATTATGGTCAGAATTATGTTTCCACTTTGAGGCAGCATAGTAACACAACAGAAGATCATTTATCTGTGGAGTAAATGGACTTAATAGAAAAAGTAAAATATACATTAAATAATAAAGAAGCTGATGATTTTCCTTATTACTGTTACTGTCATCCACATAATTGCACTGAGTGATTATATGTAGGATTATTTGTTACTGAAAAAAAAGGTGATAAAGCCCATTTTAGATATGAATAATCCTTGCTAGCCTTCATACCTAACAGTGTACTTTAGAAATTATGGTGGAAGTACATCCAGACATATGATTAAACCTGAAAGGAGGACACATTCATTATCTTAGTAAAGGAGACTCTTCTATGAAGGATCATGTGAAAGAAGTGTGATGAATATTTTGTATTGGAAATGTAAAACTGATCTGRGCAAGCATAAAATGATATGATAATGGATGTCCATTCTTACCTTATTAGATATGAAAATACTTAGTATGGGACAGAGAATCAAATAAAAAGAACAAAAATCAAGTTAGTTGGGTGGAAATCACTTCTAAGAATAATTTTTGAACTGTCATCTGTGATGAATCATGCAAGAGATGATTCTGATTGGCACTAATGATCAGGTGAAACTGCCATTTGAGGTTTTACCTGTGATCTTTTAGGCTACCAATCAGAAAAATATTCTTTTTAAACAAGTCTGGAAAGCTTGCTCTCTAAGAGGTGTCACATGTACACTGGAGAACATGAGTAAATGAAACTGCACTTTAAGCAGTAAATGTAAGTTAAAAGTCCTCTTCTATATTGTTTTAAGTTGATTTGCTAAAACTTGAGCAAAAGTTTTCTATCTGTCTGTGTTTTTTCAAAACTTTTGAACCAGTTATCCAGTTAAAAACTGGACATAAAATATGAGTGTCTTTCTCTTCCAAATGTTAATATTGAATTGTTAGGTATATGCATATTTGTATTGGATATATAAGTTATGATAACCTATGTAAAGCGTTAAAAATCTCTTATTTCTTTGTCCCTTTTCACCAAATGACATAATTTCTCAGATGGTTTAACATCCTTCCATCTTTTCCTCTGGGGTGTTTCTGGTTTGGTTTTATTTTTCCCTTGAACTTTGCCTGTATAATCCTTTTCTTCTGTTCCAGCAGTTTTTCCCTTTTCTGTATTCTCAATGTCAAAAAGATATGTATGATGAATGTGAAAACCTGAAGAGCCATTTCTATGATCTATTAGGTCCTCAGTCTGCATGCCARTGAGGAAACACGTTTAAAGTCTATTTTTGTGACAGATGTTATCCCTTTGTTTTGTGTTGTCTCAGGGAAATAATCTTTCTTAAGATGTCATCCAAATGCTTTGCTCAAGACTTCCTCCTGCACTGGCTTTGAGAATAARTGCAAATGTTTTGGTTCCAACAGAATCTGTGTGATACAGATGTACAGAAGTGCAACAGCTCTTGCATTTTGTAACAGGACATGCTTTCCTCCAGGCAGCCCTGGCTTTGTTGGTTTGTATGGAAGTACCTTTGGCTCTYTTGGAAAAGCCAGAGCTGCTGAAGGTGGCTGGAGCATTCTTTGCATATAGAGAATGCAGCTGCAGCAAGTTATTACTAGTTTAGGATGACAGAAGAGACTATATCCCTTTTTCAGTTGTTGAAATGTAGTACGTATTTGTTCAAGTTTTTTGTCCATGCATGCGCAGGGGCTGCTGGGTTTATACATTACAGGCCTTCCTAGTACTTAAATGCTGGCTAGACAGAGGACCAAAAGGAAAACGTGCTGATGAAGGAAAGAGTCACCTATGAACATTTTATATGCACAGAGTATAGTACCATGGTGCTCTGTGAAATGGAAAGTTTTGAATTTTGAATTACAATGATCAGTGGGGTGATAAAAATAGTGGTACTGTCAAACTTGTGTTTTAGAACATGCTTGGGATTCCTAGCTGTGTTTTTCAGAATGTTTCTGACAAACATTTGCAGCCTTTTTACCTGGTCTTTAGGAGCTAGAAAAACTTGTGGTAAGTTGATGCTGAGGAGCTTATGGATATTGTGGCATCTCCTAGTGGCCATCTAGTAGGCTATGGAGTCATCCACTGTTTTCTATACATACACTATATTGATACCACCTCTAATATCATCTTTGTCTCCAATCTTGCCAGAGAAGCAAGTGGCCCTGCTCCTCAAGTTTCCCCACCAGTTACAGGTGATAACCATAGTGGCCACCTTCTATGAAGAATTTCATTTTTCACAATGAAGAATGCTGCAGATTCTAAGCTTAGCACCGTAATTGTTAAGGAAATAAATGGTTACAACATGTTGGATGTGGAGTTTTAGGGTTTTTTCATGCTATGACATTCTTTTTCTCCTGCCTGATGTAGTCAGAGCAAAAGAGAAATGYTTGCAATAATGACTAAGAAATAAAACAGCACCATCCATTAAAGGAGGCTATTGTGGTCTATTTTCACAAACTTCTGTTAATGATTAAGCTAGACATTGATGATACTGCATTTGATTAAGGTGGTGGGCTTCTTGCCTCGAGAAATTCCTTAAGATTTCTTTTACTGTGTCTTTTGGGATAATAATTAGGAGTGCACATTTTATTAATAAAATAAAAATAACATTCATTTTATTAACAAAACTTACATTTAGTCACTAGTAGCATTGTGTTAGGCCTTTTCAATCATGATAACTGCAGTAGCATTTTGGTTTTGTATATCTTTCTRTAGATATAGCAAGAATTCCTGTCCCACAGAACCTCAGTGGATATTCTCTTATACCGCTGCTGTGTGAAAAGGCTGGGAGCGAAGTGTCACCCAGAGAACATCGGCCTTCATGGGTGCTGAGTGAGTTYCATGGGTGCAATGTGAATTCCTCTGTGTATATGCTGAGAGCTGGCAAGTGGAAATACATCGCRTACTCGGATGGCTCCTCGGTACTGCCCCAGCTCTTTGGTATGCTACTTTTATGTGCTGTCTAACTCATTAATTTACTTTTTTTATTGCAAATTGAATCTTAACAGACTTTTTGTTTGTTCCAGACCTCACTGCTGATCCAGATGAACTTACAAATGTTGCCACAAAATTCCCAGTAATTGTACATTCCTTGGACAAAATACTTCTCTCTTTAGTAAACTATCCAAAGGTTTCTTTTTCTGTTCAGGAGTATAACAAACAACAGTTTATCAGCTGGAAACAAAGTTTGGGTCATAATTACTCAAGGATTATTGCGAACCTTAGGTGGCATCAAGACTGGCTAAAGGATCAAAAAAAGTATGAGAATGCAATTGAAAAGTGGCTTGCTAAGTAGATGCAGACAACCTAGATTTAATATGACTGAGGATATAAAAACATTATGCATTTGTAATATTATGCTATATTTCAAGTGTTTGAATTTTTGTTTTACATAACCTATTGAAAGTAAAGATTCCTGAACAATTGCTGCATTGTGGTGGAAAGCCAAGAGCATTTTATATAACTAGCCAGCAAAACAAAACTAGAGTTTTACATGTTATTGTTCTGTAACACATGTGCATAGAAAGGGTAGTATGTAAATACGAATWGTGTGTATGGAATATGTAGCTGATTTCAAAAGTACAGAGTATTAAGCATTAGAATGCAATAGGAATTTCCATTTATAAGGATAAACAAAAGCAAGGATTATAAAATTTAGTGAAGTAAGCTACCAGTTACAGTGAAATTTCCTGGGTTTATTAAATCCAGATCAGATACACATTCACCTACTTTAGAAAGGTATAGCCGTTAAAATATGAYCAAAAAGTTGGTAACAAGTACTAGTCTGAACATAGATATTTATTTAAGTACTTAACTATGTCAGCATTCCTATGTTATATGTGATTGACTCCCCATGTTTTCAAGACCTGCCTGCTAACCTCCTACTTTTGAATCTGGTTCGTACCACTCTCTGCTGTTTAAAATTTCATAATATGCAAAGGCTGCTAATTGAATATGTGTACAAGTGAAGAGGAATCTGATCTCTTGTCATTGTCAGAAATTTTAAAATTAACCAATAAAACAAAAACCAGTTGCCAAACCTGTGAGTAGAGCAGTTCTATGAAAAGTCATAAAGTGATTTGCATAACATAAAATAAAAGCTGCCTGAATAAATCTGTTATGCAGTTATATTCTGCAAGTAAATGCTTTAATGCACATCAGTGAGTAGAGAGCTGAAACCTTATATTTGCACAGAGAAGACACAATTGAAGCTTGCAGGAAGAGTTAACATAGAAATACTACTTCCCATTTTTCCAGTGATCTGACAAAAAAAGGTAGTTTTGGAAGAAGGTAAGATTTAGATAGAAACTCTTCCACTTAGGGGAATATGAGATTATAGGAGCACTTAATTTGCTTATATTTGGTCACTATCATTGCTGCCATAATACAAGTTCAGAATGACATTATACCTCACACTTAAATGTGTTCTGGGATCTGTTATTAAAGGCTCAGTTGCAGTAGTAAGCCAGTAAAAATAGACCTAAAAATGAAATGTRTTCTCTGATGGTTACCCACTCATTTCAAAAGCAACTTAACACAATGGAATTAAAAAGTCTTCAAACCCTGTTGCACATGCCATTGTAATTCTTAATAAAATAAATGCAGGTATGGTTGAAATTACTTAAACAAAATAAATGGGATGTATAATTAGAGAAGGTATTTATATCTCTAYAATTAGAGAAGGTATATATATATTTCATATATATATGAAAATTTGTTCAAGAGAAAAAAGAATAAAGAAATTTTATCACTTTCCAGTGGTCTGGACAGAATGCAGTACATTGTACAAAATGTAATAAAATAAAATTATGGTGAGCTGTGTGTTTTGGTTTTTTTTAATGACTGAATGTTTAAAATGTAGGGAAAATTGTATTTTGTCAGTTCTGTGAACAGTGCTTTCTTTGAAGAGATGAGCTTTTAAGACACACTGATGTTACATTTGCAAAAGTGCCATTTGTGATACTCTCTGAAATGGAAGAACAAATTGGAAAAAAACCCCTTGCAACCACATCTAATGTCACAGATTGTCCAGAGAAGCCCAGTACATGGGGACAGGCTTCTTGACAATCCAGGAAACCCCAGGAATGTGCCAGCTCACAGAGCAGAGCTTCCTATTGTTCAGGACACCACATAAAATCATTCTTTTTCTGGGTCACATGGCTTGCAATCTGACTGCAATGTGGAATCCTCCAAATACACAAAGTAGAAAGTTAAAAGAAAAGTTATTAAAACAGAAGGTTGCACTTGCTAATGTGRTATTTAGAAAAGTTATAGTATCTGTTTAGCATCTGTCTCTGTAGAGGAATAATTAGAAAGATTAGCAGAAMGATTTTCAGGGAGACTAGAACTTTATAAATGCTGGTCACAATGGGGGGTTAATATGAAAACCATTTAATAACTGAAGATTCTGACTTTATGTACTGTTTATCTTTTGTAATACCTGAGAATTTAATTATGCTTTCTTTTTCATGCCTGAGAGTCACAAAATATACTACTTTTCTTAGTTTGTTCTGAGCTTATAAATAACTTGCTTTTCCATGGTGCAGGTGTTTGTCTGTGTAGAGAAATAATTCTGTGCAATAAAATAGAATATATAGTTGGACTTTTTTAGTTACTTGTGATGAGATTCTTAGATAACAAAATTCTTTTTTTTGCACCAGGAAACAAAGAACTGGGAAGTGCTGATGATAGCTAAGGACAAAGACAAGAAAAAAATTAAAATAAATAATTGGATGCTTTTATTTCAGGAAAGAGTGTAAAGGAACTTAGATTAATAGAAGGCATAAAATAATTCAGAAAAGCAGTATTTCCTTTTTGTGCTGTTGTGTTCTCTGTGTTTTTTTTTTAAGTACCTTTCTTGGTTCTACCAATTCTCCACTAAGTTTCTTTAGAAGTGTGACTAGAATTATTTCCCTGTGCTTTTATTTTCTTGGTCTCCTTGTAGACTCTTAGCAGGGATCTCTTAATTGTAAACATTGTAAAGGGGTGCAGGTCTCTGAATTTGTGTCTCCCTGAGCACTATTTTCAAAGTTAAAACTTTCAAAAATATAATTGACTGTGATTTTCTATTACAAGAGATGTTCCTGCTGTTCTGGGCATCTATTGTGGGTGTAGGTGTTCAACTGGCACGATTGGGAGGGATAGGCACTTTTCCCTGACAAATTCAGTTTAAAGTCCTCTTCAGAAGTTCTGGCAAGTCTCCAACCAAAGATGCTTTTCCCCTGCTTTGTCAGATAGAGCAGATCAACCCTGGGAAACCAGGCATGGCAAAAGGGCTCAGTAACAAAGAGCCTGACTATGGCACCATTGTTCTAATCATTTGTTGACCTGCCAGGTTCATCTGGCCAGTTAATCATATAATTTCATAAACTGAGAGCCCATAAAGAAAATTRCATTACATCTGTCACTCCGGTTTTAGATTATTCAGGCATAGCTGGGAATAAGCCTTTGTAATGTGAGGAGGTATGTCAAAGCACATTCTTACCATTGTGTTACGAGCCATCAGCAACAATAATAAAGCATATTGTTAATTTGAACAAGTTTAGGAAACCAGGATAGTAGTATCACCTTTCAAACTGATTTTTCAGACTTCTTTCCCTCTTCCATTTTTTTTTATTTTACAGTAAAAGAAAGCAAGTATGTTTCTGAAGTACCTTGCTGTTAAATATTGCTTCACAACTTTTGATAAATATAGGTACTTGTTTCAGCTTTTGTGAAGTCACATTATTTTTAATTTTTCTCTCTTACTRAAAGCACAATGACTAGAAGGTTAAAATTAAAATTGGAAGCAATAAACCTCTCAAAAAAACCTCTTTCATCTTGCAGATGGGACTGTCCTGAGGTCTTTTGGCATACTTAATACTGAAAAGTCCACTGAGATATTGAGCTATGAAAATCTGGTATTTTTATACAATTCCTTTGTAAACACTAAATCCATGTATATAACCTTACTGGTTTTAGAGAAGTTCCCCACTGAAAACCTAGAGAAACTGAGTGAATGAAATTTAATAAATAATACCATTTTTAAGATAGTTAAACAATTTATTAATTCCTAACAAAGGGCCATACTTCTCTTTAGAATTATAAATTTTTATTTGCATAACAATAATAATAAAAATTACCAGGTAAATGCTAAATATCCCCTTTGCCATTATCTGAACATCCTGAGCCATTTACACCACTTGCTCATGGTCCAGGGTGTGTGTGTGTGTGCCATGCTCATAGGCAATATTGCCTTTCATTGTAAACCAAGAAATTAAATGTAAAATTCAACATTTTTTGACAAACACTGCAGCAAATATTAATCAGAGGCTGATATATAAAATATTTTTGTTACATTTCATACAAACTGTGAATAAAATACAGTTACAAGGAGTAGTCACAATCAAAAACCTTAAAATACCATGTCATAAATACATGAATTCACAGGAAAGTATGCTATAAAGATTATAAAGAGGAACCTGTTTGCTTCAGGGAATACCAGGTTATATGGAAAAAATCTAGGTAAATTCATCCAAGTTGCCTMTTCCATTATGAATTGATGAGGAACTCTAAAAATAGTAAACTACTGGCCCCCTCTCCACTGGCATTCAAATAGATACACCCATCTTGCTTATCACATTTCTAGTAGTGATTAGCAAGGTTCTCCATAAAGGTTTGAAGCAAAATTTGTGTTGTGTGTTTGAAGCAAAGCTACACAAATACATATCTGGGAAAAAGGATTTATTCTCCACACAAATGCTTAGAAACATAATCTCTTAACCAGACCATATCTGGAATGCTACTTAAGCCTAGAAAAGATTCATTCAGAAAAAAAAAAAATGTTTTTAGAAGTTATTCTACTCTCACAATAACTTTTAGCAAAAAAATTTGGAGCTGAGCATGCTATCAAGGAACTAAACATATCAACTTAATAGCCATAATTTCATGGGAAAAGCATAGAGTAGAACTAATTTACTGTTAGTAAATTAGTAAAAAGTTATCTAAATGAATAACTTTCATCGTCATATTCTAGCTCATCTTCCTCGTCATCATCCAAAAGTCCATATTTAAATTTGTGATAAATTGTACCATCCTTGCCCATGTACACAATGTCGTCTTCGTCATCATCATCTTCATAATCTCTGTCCCTGTATTCAATCACTTGATCCTCCTGGTAACTGGGATTCTTGTGATAGTTGCTCACAGAGGTTTTGGAGTGATTTGTTAGCTTCTCATASCGTCCTTTACTGACAGGCTGGGTTTTGGTTCGTGCCTTTCTCCAGATGAATACAATGGCTCCGATGACAAGCAGAAGCAAAATGCAAGTGATAACAAAGAAAGTAGTTTTGCTTTTTTGCCCAGGGGGTAGAGTTCTCTGTAATACACAGTCATCTACAATAGCAATTAAAAACAAAAACAACCAAAAAAAAAGAAGTCAAAACGAGCCTGTATTTGTGTGTGTGAGTCTTAAAAAAGTGTTTAAAAGTCTAGTACACTGTTAAGGACTACATTTATTTTTAATAGCAGTCAACAAGATACCTAACTTTTCTGGTACCACAATGGTGTTTTTGTTGTTCTTGTGTTGTAAGGATATCACTAAGGGAGTTGAGATATGTAGCCTTCATTATTTGATTTGAAATAATGAGAAAGAAGCAGAAAAGCTAGCAGGTGCACAAATGCAATGATTCAGATGTCTATTCATTGAAGCAAGCTAATTCATAAACCAGTCAATTTATGAAGCGCTGGGCCGTTTAACACAACAACTGTGAGTGCAAGAAGTTGCCATCTACAGCACCAGAACTACTGGCTGTTGTTTGTGTAAAACTTTTCCTATTTTTGATGCAGCAGTAGAAATACATTGTTTACCAATAGCATGTTTTCACTCTAATCCAATTTTAACTGTCAGTATAATCAGCCATAAAATGCTTCAGCACTATTCCTGCCCTTTGGCATGGTCCTACCTTGTGTGTCAYTGCAGTCACAGCACTCTGGGGTTCCTGCTGGGTCAGTGTTGCTGCAGCAGGGCAGGCAGCGGCTTTCCTCCAGGAAGAGCTGCATGCTGGCTGGACAGACTGTGCAGTTGAGAGGGCCAGGTCCCTTGCACTCTGTGCATGAGCTGTCACATTTCTCACACTTCAGTTTGTCCTCCTTCAAACACAGAACATGAGCAATGCACCTCTAATTTGTGTGATTTGGCCTGACCTGGCATTCTATCCTGTCATTCACCCTTTGGGTTGTCATCTCTGGGCACCATGAGTGTCAATGTGAAAATACAGTAGCAAATTCAAAATTTCCTGTTTTATGATTTCTCAGTGATCTGCTTGTAGGAAGGGGGCATAAAGTGTTACAAAGCTTAGAGATCTCATCTAGCCAGACAGGAAATTTAAATTAATTCATATCTTTAATGTTTTTAGCCAGAAAAGTAACTGACATGGAAGAAGCAATATGAAATACTCTGGGAAAAATAAAGCTGAGAGTATGGATTTTTTCTTTACTCAGGGAAGAAGCAGAAGTAAAGAATAAAGGTAGTTARAAATTTTTTAGCAAAGCAGATTTCTCTCAGATTGTGTTGCTTTTTCTACAGAAATAGCTTGGATGAAATACTCCTCGTAAAGTCCAAACTTCTGGGAACCTCTGTGTACAAAGACTACCAGATGCCACACACTGCCTTGCAGTGATCACACTGCCTTGCAGAATGCTCTGAAGTCAGGTGTTTTGGTGTTTCCAATGTTCACAGTTCCTGGCCATGGGACATAGAGACTGTAAAGATCTGGAAACGCCAATAAAATTTCACCAAACTTGCTGTTAAGATTGCAAAACTGTTTATCCTGGATGGAAGAACCATCCAGATTAAAGAC